GTGAAATGATTCAGAGCAAAATATTTTAAAATGGTATTTTACTGATATTTTTTTAAAGAATTAGCAATTGCAGAAAATGGTTATATTAGGAATAGCTTTTGTTCTAACTGGGGACTGGAATTACTGAAATGTATAATAGACTGCAAACAAAAATTTCATTTCCTAGCTGGCTCTGCCCACTGGCTTTTTGACTTATTTTGGACACTGCTGAAACAATCCATGGCAAAGGCAGTAGATAGCTCTAGGAATTTGTGCAGGCTATAGAGTCAGTCGTGGGTTGCTGGTTCAAATCCAGAGAGCCTTCATGGGAACAAAGAAAAGTTGATAGCATGACTTCAGCTGTGTGGTATGAGTTTACCTCCCTGGGTGTAGGTGACAGCAACAGAAATAGCATTAATTAGTCCACTTCGGCATCTCAGCCAAAGTCTGACATGGCAAAGCAGGGAAGCCTACTGTGTTGCAGGCTGAGCTGGGCTTGTTCCATGGATAAAAATATAGGTTCCATGTTCTAGGTCCAATCTAGTTTTTATTAGCACTGTTGCTGTGATGGCAAAGGAAAAGCTAAGAGAGCTGCTTAATAACTAACAAGAATAACAACAAAGCATCAGACTTGGTAATTGGTTAGAGATAGTATCTTGGGAAGACGGGGACAAAAAGCAGTGAACTGTAACCAGCCGCACGATCCAAGGTAACAAGCAGTCAGCACTGGATTAGCAACCACAGCAACATTAATAATTTAACTATAGCATTCACAATAATTCAACCACGCTATCCGGAACACAAAGCTAATGGTGATATAGAGGACGAAGACATAATAAGGTAATATTCCAAAAGTTTGTAAGTGCCTGCACATAAAGGCATCCTCATGGAAGAGACTATGTTTAAATTTTTTGTTCTTGCTTTTTTGTTTCCCGAAGAACATAAAAGGCAAGTGTTTAGTTTTTGGTAGTTGTTTTTTGCTAGCCATGAAGGGAAGATGGGCTGTTTCAGAAGTTCCTATTGACAGCCGACTTACAGAGTGTGACAGGCTGACACATTTTGCTGTCTTTGAAAACTGAATAACAAATAGTTTTGCTATTTACAAGTCAGAAGTGAAGGAATGGATCTGAGCTACAGAGCACCCTCCCAAAATATACAAACCCCTCTCTGCATGCACTGCATGCAAACTGCCTTCATCTTAGTTAACATTAGGTTATATCTCTTATTTACTCATGGAGGTTGAGAAAAAAGTAAAAAGTGAGAACATAGGAATGCCATAACTCAGAACAGACTCTCAAAATTTATTTTATAGCTTGCCTACACACAGAGTTGTACCACTCTACCACTGTGATTAAAATGGTAGAACCTCTCTGTAAGGATCACACTCACTACTTTATCACTAGAGATGTTAGCCTGAATAAAATCCATGATTGTCCTGTGTTGCATTCTCTCATTCTGGGAAGTCAAATTCTTTTCTAGAAGTGACAATGTAAAATGGATGCTGCTCTTACAACAAGGGTGCTTTGTGTACATATTCATAGGCAGAGCTTTTACTTTCGTGACAAAAAAAATGATTTTTACATTACTTTACTCACACTAGCATTAAGGAGTCCATACAGTTAGGAAAAAATGAATTAGATTCGATTGTGGCTCACATGTCCTGATTGAACCACTACTGCAAACTCCTATTGCAGCAACAAATTCTGCTAATTGCATTGCGCAAAATAGCTACACAGCCTGAGCTGAAGGAAAATTTAAACTCCCAAGGAAAAGACATATTTATGAATACATACTGCATACTGCTCTCAACTTCAAGTTTCAGTGGCACACCAAATCAATTCTGGCACAGTTTTGGAGCCCTGTGAATTCACCCTGAGCTGGAAAGTGTGCAGATCCCAAGTGCTCATCAGCTGCTAGGGATATTTATTTTGGTTAGTTTTAAGCACACACTGAAGAAAATGGTTTCTGCTCCCATTGACAGCATCTCTTTGAAAGAACTATATTTATGAAACCCAGTGGAGGCACTAGGGTAGTGGTGGGAGTGGAACTGTAATATTTAGTTTTTACTCAGTTTACATGCAAAAACTATGTCAAGCCAGATTTCCTCCTGTGGGAAGTACATGAGGAAGGATCCAGAGAGTCTGGATCCTAATGTTGTCCCTACATCCCTAAGTACATTTTGACTGCTGTTACTAAACTTATATTGCTCATACCAGGCAGAAGGGTAGCCCAAATCATCCTGGATATAAAGGATGAAAAAAAAAAGGTCAGCCCTGTAGAGGCATCAAAAAGGAATGCTGATTTGTTTGTTCCACAAAAAATGTATGAACTGCACCACTCATCTTTTTGGCCTGAAGCTTCATCTACATAACAATATAGCACTGTCATTAGTAATAGTATTTTTTCTGAGTTAACAGAAATATTAGGCATGTTATTAATACCACCCATTGCACACACTGATGTTAGAAATGATTATTTGTACAGCTTCCCTTCTATCCTTTTTTATATTCTGTTCCAGTTCATATATAAGTGAAACCTATGAGCTTTTCCTGCCTTGAGCTCCTACCTTTGTGTAGTTAGTCTTTAGGTCAGACCTGAAGAAAAGCTGAATAATCATATTCTCAGCAAGAACAAATGCCTGGCTGAACCCAGTAGTTCAAGGTATGAAATCTGGTCACTGAGCATGCAGTGGGCTTTGTGCAACACATATGAAAAGAACATCCTTGCCAGGCGGTGTGTATGTTCCCTTCCATGTCTAAGAGGATGGTCTGGGCCCCCAGCAGACAGGATGGGGGCTCCTGCCTCCCCCTCACTGCTGGGCTGAATTTGGTGCTAACAGCTATGCAGGTACCTGGGAAGGAGTCCTCAGGGGACCCTCAGTATCCCTGTCTACCCAAAGCAGGACACAGACTCTACTAGAGAGCTAAATTGTCAAACAGTGGGTTCATTTGAGTTTCTTTAACTGAAAGAAAAAGAAAGCTACAGAAAAAGTGGTTATGACTGATTTACGTCCTGTCTCCTTAATCTCTTAGTTGTCAATATCGGGCCTGTGTCAGTGATGCACTAACAAACACTTCTCAGTCAGACTGTATTCTTCACGTCCTTTTCTTCATATTTTCTCCTCATTAATGAGGACCTTCCCATGGATGTGCTTGGATGATTCTTCCTTCCCATTCCTGTTTGTCACATCCTCTCCTTTCACTACTTATCTTTGAGGAGCAGAAACCAGTCTTGGCTTGCTACTGAAGAAAAACAGATACAAAGAGGTACCTTCCGCATGTCCCTCTGAGGATCTCATGTAGCAGCCAGTAGAGGAATTGGTGCTAAATTGCCATAACAGAATATCTCAAGGCATGAGCTCCATCCAGCCTCAGCAGGTATTGATAGGCAAAGGCATTCAATAGAAGAAGTCACTGAGGAAAAACTGCAGAATTGATGTTGGCAGGTGACTAGGAAGCCTTAATCCCTTTGGATCAGGACACATCTATGTGATGAAAGGCTCAGGTTTTGGATTATGGAGAAAATTAAGATGCTTGTAAAAATCCCATGATTGTTTCAGAAAAATCCAAAGACATGTAGTTACAGGTATTTTTAGTTGTGAAGATTATCTTCTGAAAACAAGAGCCTTCTTTGTTGTCCTTTTGATACCTGTGATTTTGTTGTGCACATCCTTTCCCAACTGGTTGAGCAGTATTGCTCTGGAATGTCAAACCTGTGGATTTCAAACATACTATGGCACATCCATCTCCAGGATGAATCTCAGTGATAGAAGCAAGGATGTCTTCTGTGATTGTATTGCCATTAATTTAAAATATATTTACTGATTTTGCAAGACCTTAATGAGCTTTATAAAGTTTGCAAAACAATCTAGGATACTCAAAAGAAACCTAGTACAAAAAGAAAATGTTACTTACACAAAATGCTCCAGGATACCATGGATGGAAGAGCCATATTCAGACCACTTACAGTGGTGCACAAGGTGGATTTAGGACTCAACTGTGTGCTGAGCAAGCTAAACTGCTTATTAGCCAGTGCCAGCTGCATCAGAGGCTCTTTTCCTACTTTAATGAGCAAGGGTCCAGCATTACTGTCATATCTACTTCTACTTCTACTTCAATCCTTTGCCTGTCCCTGCAGTATTGTAGTGATATCTTCATATTGTATAAAGCTTATTTAGTAGTGAAGCCACTTTCTCTGGCAATGTTATAGCTTGAAGACTTAGGCTAGGGAAAAAAAATAAAAAACAAACAAACAAAAAAAAAAAAAAAAAAAAAAAAAAAAAAGGAGAGTTTTCCCCAAATAAAGAAAAAGCATTCTTTAGCATTTTAAAGCTTCTGTTTTAGAGGGGATAATCCTACGGGTCTCCTTTTATTTTTTTTTTTCCTTAGCTTTTAATTACTTTTCTCTTAACAGCTCCACATGACAAGACATCATTCTTTCCAGCCCAGGGGGAATGACTGAAGCTCCTGTTTGACTATCCCAGTGCTTTTCTGACAGCTGTACTGCTAACTTTGACTTTTTTCTGTTGTTTTGGTTTGTTTTTTTTTTTTCCTCTGGAGCTCTTGGGACTGGCTAATAGAAGATCTCTGCTGTGAGGCCCACCTATGACATGGCAGGGACATTATTTCTCTCTGGTAAATGAATTATTGCTTGCAACAGGTGAGGATTAGTTGGTGCAGGCAACAGCAAGCTGTGTGTAGTAGTAATTCAACCGACTTTGTGTGTCTTCTATTAGAGGATCTCACCCAGTGATACGTACATAAAGGGGACATGAATTTAATCTCTGGAAAGGAAGTAGAGAAGAAGACTTCTGAGCTTGTGCCAGACAGCAGTGAAATCAAAGTGAGTGCTCAAGTGTCCTATCATTGTCCTTTCCTGTTAGCTCTCGGAGCACAAAGGGACAGCAGTCCTACTGAGAGCCTCTAGGGGCTACTGCAGTTCAATAAATAACAATAACTAAAATGCAAACCTGGTTTTGAGTCTGATAGAGGCTGTGTTAATCTCTGCTGTACTATCTTGGACTTCGGAGGAGTTACATGCAATGGAATTTGGCCCACTGAGCCTCTGCTATCTGCTCTTGCATTACCATGAAGGATAAAGGACAGCAGTGAGTATAGACTATTCTCCTAGGACACAGTGTTTTGTCTTGTTTTCCTGGGGGAAGAATTAGTCTTTTAGTACTCTTTCTTGCTTTGTTCCCTGCTCTCTGATAATATTATAAGAGTAGCATCTTTCTCTCATGCTGGGTTCTGTAGAGAACACTCCAACTTTGTGTACATAACAGTTATTTCACTCTTTGCTAACGCCTTCATGAAATTTGCTTTTATTTGAGTTAATAAGAATCAATGTTTTACTAATTTGCTCTTTAAAGATACCATACACCCTTGATAATTCTCTCCCGCCACATGGGGTTTGGTTCACTGTGAAGTGTTGTATGCAATGTAGGAGGCACAGTGAAAGAGCTTGCATGTGAGAGAAGGGGTGAGCTTGAGTGCAGCATATTTAAGAAACTCAGACTTTAGGAGGAAATCTCTACAGGATATCAAAGCAAATTTCAATCCAAAAAGGTTTCACTGTGTCAATAGATGTAGCACAAGGTCTGCCTGTTGTTTCACAAACAATGAATCTTCTCCAGCCTATAAATAATGTAAAGACAAGTCTCAGGATTTTTAAAAATTTCTGCTAGCTTGAGGCTACCTACCCAGCATGCCTCCTTGTTTACAACTTCCTGTACAAACATATATTGTATTTGTTTTCAGACAGCACATCAGCTTTCCCGACTTCTGGAATTAACCTCTAGTACATATTAGCAGCAGTCTTTTAAGCAGATTTCACAGAGACGTTCAGCACGGTGACTGTGGGGCGAGGGCTGTGCTCCCACGGAGCCAAGAGGAGAGCTCTTGGCGTGAGGTGTGCGGTGCAGCCCCTTCGCCGGACAGTGCTAACAAGGTAGCACAATCAGCTGCCAGGCCCTTGGAAAGCATCTGCGCTTCTGGTAAGCTCCTTAAAAGCCATTTACAAATGTAAAATGAAACTGTGCATTGAGTAAAGGTGCTACTGCACCTTACATAGATCTGGGGATATAAAGAGGGACTACACAAGGGAATGGATTTGCGAAGTTCAATTTTTCTGTTCAAAGGTAGCAAGTATGTTGTCAGTGTGCGAGGGTCTGAACTCCTGACATCTCCATGAGTGCAGGTGAGTGCCCTAATTGCTTGAGACCTCCTTGCATTTCATTTGTCTCTCATCCCACAGTCTGTGTATTCTTTTTCCTGTGCAGATGCAGTAAGCCCAGTGGAGAAAGCCTCTGCTTAGGCTAGCCTGCCTTGCCAAAGTTAGGACCCCTTCCGCACTGTGGAGACATGTACTTGAAGCCTGGCAGGCTGCAGAGGGCACAGACCCCGTGCCTGCTGCTTCCCAACCAGCAGGCTCTTGTAGGAAACGCAGGTCCTTGTCCCTTTTGTGTGGTGCCTGATCCTGTCCCTGTAGCTGAGGGGTACTTTCTGACAAGTATTTGTCTGCATAGTTTTTAGACTCTTATTAGATTGGAAATGATCAGACAGAGGGTGATTTTATGTAGTCAGGAAAACAGAATTCTGGGCATTTCTAGAGCTTACGGAAAGGAAAACAAAATATACAACACTAATGAAGTGTGAGCAGAAAGGGAGCTTTGGATAGCAATTCTGGAGTTAAGCACTTAAAATCCACTTTCTTCCAATTTCAGGCACTTTCACTCTATTGGAATTCTCCTGAAACACATTGTTTCAAAACTGCAGGACATGACGACAAAATAAAATTTGGGTCAAGGACAATTTAGGCTATGGCTCTGTCTACTGCACTTTATGTGAAAAAGTCATAATAATGAAAGGCTTCTGTGTGGGACCTGAGTCTTGGCTACTTCTAAATTTCGCAGAGTTTTATCTTTGTTGTTTGCCTCTTGGTTTTCCTGGAGACTTTTTAAAAATGAGCCACAGGTTTTCAAAACTGAATGCAATTTATTTACAAGCACATTTTGGGGTTAAAGAAGGGACAAATGATTCACTCCAATACACCATAATAGACCAAGACTATGATGAAATATGGTCCACACCAGAGAGTTGGACTGAGTTGGGATCAGTTGAGGAACAACTGCAAATCATAACTATCCATCAGATTTTCAATGCTGTATGGGAAGGAGCATCCACACAGATCTTATCGATGCTCTGACTCTTGTCTGACAGGTGTCCACATCATGAAAGGAACACAACAAACTGCTGAGACAAATTCAGTGACCAGCCACAGAGGGTGAACTCCCCTCTACCTTGCTTCATGCTGATTCACTCAGGACAGAAGGAAAGTAGTTTCTTTCTTGGACAAACTGTATCTGTAGCCGTTGTGCCAGTGACACCGACTTAGAAGCTTTCAGTCTGGCAGTTGCATAATCGTGAAGTGTACCTGCAGAATGTAAGTAAGAAAAAACTTGGAGTTGTATGAATTTAAGAAAGCAATGAGGGGGAGGGAAGGATCACCAAGTCAGCTGTTATTGTTGTCAGGCCCCAGAAGGTGATCTATTCTCAAGCTTTCATTAACTCTCAGAGGTATTCCAGGTGCTCATCTAATCTCCAGGCCCTACATATTCAGGTGAGATATTGCTTCCCTTACGGCCCAAGTCAGGTTTTGTGTTTTACAAATGCTCTACAGGAATATCATTATAAATCCATAGCTGAAAGAGCCTGTGCATCTCAAGTGCTCTTTTGTTTTCCACCACTGAATATGCTGCCAGCAGAGATTTAAAACATTGGCTCTGTAAATGCTTTCATGTCAAGACTAAAGGCAACACTTGTTTAATTCATTCTTTGACCCAACAGTAGCTTTATCTTAGGTTATCACTTGTTAAACTCTCTAGAATGTTTTAAACATGAAGGGCGCTGCTGTGTATATATATCCAATGTACTGTATTTTACTTGTACAAATTTGACAGTAGTGATTCATAAACATCAAAACCATTTCCATCCTGTGCTGCAAATTATGCTTTACTTTAGCTCCATTCACAGGATGTGTAACCCATTCTAGAAAAAAGACAAAAAAATAAAACTGCATTTATCCTCTATCCAATTTGTAATTCCTTTTTGTAGGTCATAAGACCTCACAGATTTTTATATACATACGCTCACGTGTATATATTTTTATATATACATGTGTGTATAAAAGAGTTTTTGTGTGTATCTATAAATAGACATGTATATATAGTTTGAATGCATACATATTTATAAATATAAATATGCACATACATGAGGACAATTGTAGCAATGATGTACACTGTGGTGTAAATGGAGGACTGGATTTATACATCAAATATACTGCAATCTGATTAGAATAACAATTAAGGTTTGCTGTACATCATTCATTGGCAGTGCAAAACCAAAATAATTTACATTACTCTGTGTAAACCCACCAGTTCTGCCAGCATAGGAATTATCACTAAATTGTCAAAAATCTACAATTGTATTTAAAATTAGCATCTGACAGTGACCCCAAGAATTGAGGTCAACAGAATCATTCTGGATTTGCATCACATAACAAGTATCAGAAACTCAAAAGTTTTAGACTATAAGATGTTGCAAGACTAACTTGTTAACGGACTGTGTATTTGCTCCTAACAATGATGTCTACACTATAGGACAGATAACTTTTCACCCAAATACCCCATTCTTGCACTGTAGCCTGATTCCTCCCTCCCTGAATGGCATGACAAGACCTGAGTACTTGCCATCCTTTTGTTGCCTCTTTTTTTTTAAAAACCAAACCAAACCAAACCAAACCAAAACAAAACAATTGGGTCAGATCAGAGAAGGAGCCACAAAATCCTGCAGTAGGTTCAGATTCCCTGGTCCAGACAAAGAGAGGACCAAGGACTGCAATGCAGACAGAGCAGCTCAGCCCTGTGCAGAGGGGTGGGTGCCATTTCAGATAGTTTGGTCTCAACATCCATCTCATCTTCTAGTTATCCACTGTGACATCTGCACCAAATTATTTAACAAGCACATAATATACCAGAATGAAACTACAAACCTCGGTGTCCGTTCAGGGAACATACCACCTGCTAGTTGCTAATACCAGCTTCAAAAAATATATGCTGCAGTCCTTGGCTGACAGGCCAGAGATGGGGAAGCCTACGGCTGCTGGTGGCTGCTGGTGGCTGTGCTGTGCCACAGAAGCTCATGCCACTCTTGTAACCCAGTGCCGATAAGTTAGGACACAGGCACTGACAGCAGCAGACCTCTTTCAGGTACCTTGGCCCTGAGTGATTTCTCAACAAGATATGTTAACAGGAGTAACGTGAAGAAAATACCCTGAGTGAAAGAATAGGACAGCTAAAGCTAAAGCTCCATCAGAAAGGAGATGCTTTAGAAATGTGGGAGACAGCTAGACAAGGTTTAAATTATCTGCTTTGTAACTGCAAGTAATGGTTGCCAGCAGCAAGGGAGATACTTAGAAGAGATCTTTTTTTTACACCTTCTTGTTTTGAAGCACTTTATGGTTTTAATAGTTCTCAGTGCGGGCAGCAAAGCCTAACTATGAAAATACAATATGAACTGCAGAGAGAATATGCCACGTGCAGAATTAACCCTGATGACACATATTTTTCCACAACACAGGAATAAGAAAAGGATAACAGTGAAATACACACAAGTGCAGTTTTCTGAAGCTGAAGACAAGGCTTTGAAATTCTGGGAACTAAGTTTCTTGTGAGGACTTAGTTGTGATGGGTCCAGGACAAAAACCAGGGTGAGCAAGAACGCTGTGCTGAGGCGACTTGTAACTAGCCCTGACTAATAAAAACAACAGAGGATGTTACCTACAGTGGGATTCACCTCCACTAGTCACAGCTGCCAGAAAATTAGATGCCTGGTCTGCACTAATCTCTCCTGTACAATGAGCCACGAGCACAAAAGGCAGCTCCAGAGGTTAATGAGTCCCAGCTATTAGTAAAACAGCTTAAAACATAAAAATCTTGCCTCCCAAAGGTGCAAAACCAAATACCATAGATACCACCTTCTTACTTTTTCCAAAGCTGCAGTAACATGAAATGAATCCCACTTGCAACCCAGGCTGATGGTCATGAGAAAAGGACAGTGCTTTCACACCATGGACATGCTGGAACAGCCAAAATGCTCTGTTATTTATGTGTGGTTGGGGTAGGAGGGAAATAAAACACCTTGTGTTTTGTAAAATACCACAACATCAGGCACTGTCGAAGGTGAAGACAGATGGTGATAAGTGTTTCTGCTAAATCTCTGGTTCTGTGCCATAAAAGTTAAAGGGTTTTAACCACTGAATTAAGTGAGCAAAATATCAAGTCCCAGACAAGTTGGACTGAGGTCAATGATGCACCTGAAATCAGAGAAACTTTCAATTGCTGTCATTTTAGTTCCCTTTTGAGGTCAGAAGGGCATCTGTTTAGATTTACTGCCATAACCCACAACAAAGGAAAATCATAGCTCACACTGAAGAGCAAAAGCACTCTTTCTTTTTTTTTTTTTTTTTTTTAAAAAAAAAGTGTACATTATTTAAGGAAGGATAAATAGAAAGCCTTAAGGCCAGCTGACGTTAATGATTTTCTATTCAATGCATGGAATTGTCCTAAATAAATAAATAAATAAATCGGCCATCAATCCTGTGCTTATTGTTGCATTAATGTCAAACCCATGAAAAGGGTAAGTAAGTAACGTAGTATGCTCCACTAGCACCGAGGCAATGACATCTTTTTTAGAGTGTGAGTAGGAGAAATTATTTCAGACATATATTTTGAATATCTATTTGAAGCTATCACTTTGCAGCGAATAAAATATGTTTTATCCTTGTTAAGTCTGCAATCAAGTCTAGCTCTGTGGCTTAGCAGGCTAATGTTCTCATCGCTTCAACTTCCTTGCTTGGCAGGGGATCAGCGTCTCCTTGCTACTCACGTTGAGCAGGCAAACTTGCAGATTTCAATCCTGCTAGCATTTGTCTCTCAAATAAATGAGCTATAGTGTACCTTTTGGCCTGACAAGGAGACTGTGAATCTGGGAGCCTTTGCCTCAGCCAGTAAGACCTCAGAGAGGGGCTGATGTTCCTTCACCATCAGTGTCATTACAAACAATGTGTCTCCTTAGCAAAATGCTTGAAATACATGCAGAGAACTAAATTAGCCATGGCAAGAACAACAAAAAACCCAGACTATAACCCCTTAGAAAAAATATTCAGATGAATGTTATGGGACTAAATAACACGAATTTGAATGGAATTATCTGGGTTTTTTTTCTATTTCCTTGCAGGTCATACAAGAAGGGAAAACAGAGCTGCACCTTTGATGTAGTTTTAATAAATATTCAAAGTCCTTTTAATTACTGCCTGATTAATTAGTGTGGATGCAAATAAAATGGGGAACAATAGAATGACTTTCTGGGCTTCCTGGAGGGACTGGACTTTGGAAATAGAAGCACTGTATTATACGTAATGCAACTTTCTAAACAGGGGAAAGGAGAAAGCTGAGAAAAGGCGGTGGAAGCCCCTCAAGCACACTACATTTCTAGCTGTGCATGTAGGAGGGTCTACATTAGCACTGCAACCTTCAACCACTGTGATTTGCCAATCACAGTTTTGGAAATAATACTTCCTTGCTCTTTGTGCCCTGAAGGTAGTCTGTGCATTACCCTGCTGCCTGCTTGAGTGAATCCTTTATAGCAAAATAAACCTGGCCATAAGAAACAAAGTTTTCAAGGCAAAACACCCATGAAGAGACTTTTGTTTTTAGCGAGTGTTTAATGCCAGGGTACCTAGCCTATCTTGTACTTTGATCCAGCAGTTGCCCTGTTGTGACCAGTCTTTTTTAGATGCATGACACAATCCTTCTTGCAATTCCCCACAGTACTTCAGAAACACTGCTTCTCCCAAGAAAACAGTCAGGACTCTGTGGTGGCTGGTTTTAAGCTGTTACAGCTGATGAAAATATTTTGGACTGTGTTGGGGAAGAACAACGGAAGGTCTATATGCTGTCTTGAATAAGGCTGATACCTCCAAGTCCATGGATTAGTCATAATTGTTCTCTCCTTCTAGAGGTCCCAGAAAGCCTTTCATTCATATGGACAAAGAGATACATCTTGTTGTTTCACTCCATCTCTCAAGTTACCAGCTGGACAACCATGTGATCTCCACCATAACACAGCGGTAGGGTCCTACTTTCAGTATTTTTCATTCATTATCTCAAAGTTCCCATTGTAGTTATCACTTCATCTGATTCTACGGTTGCAAGATGGTGGTGTGCATCATTGGATTCTATAGCCTGCCAATTTTCTCAGATTTGTATCATTACATGTTATGTGGACCTGCCCTCTCAGTCACAGAGAATCAAGTAGCAATGACTCTAGCACCATGTGGATACACAGCTGTTTCCTGTGATACCACCATCCTCCAATGAATCTAAAATGTGCTGGTCTTAGCAATAGTAGAATTTCCCTAAAACTTAAAAATGTGGACAGTGGTTTGGGTATGTCATGACTCAGTCAAGCCAGCTGAAAGACTGAGGACTGCTGGATGAAGGATAAATCCTCTGAAAATCAGAAAATGGATGTGAACAGTTCAGTTGTCTTTCTGTGTTTCAGTTTCCTGTTTTGTATTTTATAATTTCTAGCAGCAGACAGCTGCTTTAAGTGGCCTGTATGGGGAATTCTGTGTTTCCTCTGCTCCTATTCTCATAGATAGGGCAGCCTCTGCTACTCACTTGATATTCACATTTCTGTTTTGGAAGATGCAGCCCACATCAGTCAAAGCTTGTGAGTGACAGGGAAATGTTCAGAGGAAACAGGATCCTTCTGTTCTGCTACTGCTGGTTAAAAAAGACTCCCCTTCTGATTGTCATTCTAGTGGTCCACAGATTTCTGGGTTGATGATGGGCTATATTTATTATCTGTTGTCTTCTTCTGTGACTCAGCAGCAAAGCAGGCTGAGCTTCACAAACAAAAGTAAAATGACATCAGCAGTTGTCAAATAGAAAAAGACAAAGCTGACAAAGGCATTTTGCTTTAATGCTTCTAAGCGGATATTGCAAATAACAGAGTACACACACGCACACAGAAGAATATTCAGCATGGAATATTAAAACGGTTGCCAGCATCCGCATCTTGGAGAAAGAAAAGTTGGTACCTGCATCAACACCAACTCGTATTTTTTAAGTTCAGCTGATGAAAGATGGGCCCAGCAGTGTCTGCAGCAGCTGCAGCAGCTGATCCAGTGAGCCCTAGCATCGGGACAGAGCTGACAGCTGGCAGCCAGGCAGCCTGCACTGACGTATGGCATCAGCCTTGCAAAATATATCAGTAGCACATGGGGATGGATGGTGCCTGCCCTTCCTGCCATGCTAGGCACTTCTCTGCTATCACAGCTAGTTTCTGCATTACCAGTACTGAGGGAACAGGAATGGGTAAAGGCAGGGTAGTCGTGGATTTCTAACTGTGCTACTCTGTGTATGATCGCCGAGCTTCTATCAATGACTGAGTCTCCCATGTTATCCACATACACGCTTGCCCACTGATGTTAAGCTCGGGGGAGACCATATCCCAGGCTTTTTTTGGAGCAGCACTGGAAGCACTGCTGAACATGGGGCACCACTTGGCACAGTGAAAACAATCCAGTAAATTTCTCATCAGCACCTGATAATTTTCTTTATCTTTCTCTAGTTTTCTATGTGACTCCAAGAATCAAGAAGCTGATTCTTCCCATCGATCAGCTTTCTGCTATAATCAGGTACCTAGTTTGGCATTTCCTTATCTGATCAGTTCACCAATTATTTTCCCTTGTACAGAAGGATGAGTAAATGAGGACCACTCAGATGAGAACTGATTGGAGTTTGTTCCTCAAACAGAGCCCAAATCAAACCTTTTTCTGAGGCTCAGTCAATGTAGCCCAGCTTTAAAAGATAGGTCCTCACATATTCTTTCCTCCCCACCACAGCTCTAACCAGAAAGAAAAAGGACCTGAAACACAGCAAGAAAGATTTTTTGCTCTGAGTTTATATTCCTTCACCCCTGCTTCTCTTTCTGCCTCTCCTAGATTCCCTTGATCAAGAGTCTCTTGATCTTACAGTTCTGAAAATCATCTCACCAAGTTTCAAACATATCCAATCATTCACAACTTCTCCTTTTGAGAAATGTGTCGAGTTTCTTTTGCATGTTTATTTCTGATCATCTTTGCAGATATGTTTAAGAGCTTCCCTACATTAACATCTCTACTCTTCACCTTGCTTCAGAAGATTCCCTTTTCTTTTCAAAACTAGATGCCAGATTTTTTTTAATCTCAGGAGTGAAAGCGACTTTTTACCTCTGTTTTTTTTAATATCTGGGAGGAAGCATTGTCAGTTTTGAAGCCACCAGCTCACGGTATTTTCTGCTTGAACAGAAATTTAAGCATAGCCAAAGCATGTATTTTGCACCTTAGCTAATATACCAGTTCTCTAAGGGTAAGAGGCTCAACAGGTAAATTGACATGGGTATTATTGAAATCAGCTATCTAAGTTACACCAGCTGAGACTCTGACTGGAAAAATCAAAAGAAATCCTCTCTGGAAAGTAAGTACAGTCACCAACTGACTTTAAGCTACTTTTCTTGTTGGTGTGCACTTTCTGCTTGAGGATGTCAAAGACTGTTTTCTTGAATCTTCTCTGTACTTTTTTGTGATCCTCTTTGTGCTGCTTGGGTTTAAATTCTCCATCACTCAACATATTCACTTTTCTTGCATCTTGACTTTCAGACTGGTTGCTGAGCTGATCTCTATATGGAAGCTGGTTGACACATACTATGGCTGTCACTAAGCAAGACGGAGTGGTCACTTTTTCTGCTTAAGTGGTTTTTCATACTTCAGCAAGTGTCCTGTTCATTTTTGGAGGGCCTTCTAGCACTGCTTCATTTCCTACACAAAATAGCTGCTGCAGTTGAGTAGGCTGAAGGGATCCATGTCTATTTCTCTTCCACGTTGACCTTTACTCATGCTTTCTTCCTCCATATCCCTTCAATAATGACTGAGTCAGGTGGTAGAGTATTGAATGTCCCAACAAATAAAGTGGTGACTTCTTGATTTCATTGCATCTTCCATAATGAATAGTATGCTTCTCTCATGTAGGTGGGAAGGTGTGCACCAGTGCTGCCTGGCCAGAGTGTTGCTGGGAAATGTAGTTTGGCTGAGGGGCAAAGTCCCCAACAAAGACTGGGAAGGGGAGACACTTGAGACCTTCCGAGTGCTGTGATGGCCCTTCAGAATGTAAGTATTTCATCTAGTTTCGTGGCTTGCTGGCTCAGGTTTTATATGAAAAATTGAAATGTTCTGTGGAAAGCAGAACCATTTCATGAAAAATTCACTGCCACTGAAAGATTCACTCTCTGTTGCAAAACAGTTTGATGTAAAACTTTTCAGTTGGTTCCAATTAGGACAAATGTAGAGCTCTCTCTGTGCTATCCTGGGGCTCAGAAGGCAACCTAGCTGTTGTCCTGTATCTTCAGTAACAATAAATGTTTGATCAGCTTGTGTGCTCAATATATAGGCTTGAGAGGAGGGAAACAAGGACTAGTTTGCTGAAAATCCCCTTGAATCCTTCTCAGAAATGGTATGACTTGTCATTCTTTAGGCCAGGGATGAAGTTTTTTCTTCTTGCCCGTTTCTTCCTTGGATGTTTACATTGCACAAAGCTATGTGTTTGTTCACTCATTTATCTGAAGGTTTTCAACCTTATTTCCAATTCTGGCATTGCACTAGGGAGTCGCCTGTTTGTTTTAAGTGATATTTTTCACTGAGATGGATTAAAGTATTCAAATACTCTTCAGCTGATGTGCCTCTAAACAAAACACTGTAATAATTACTGAGGAGATATACTGTAAAGAATAATTATCCCAGTTTCAGTGCAAGAGAGAAAACTGAGACTACCAGTTGCTGCATGGACAACCTCAGCTGAAGGGTCACCACAAGACACCATAGTTGGTTTGGGAAGTTTTAACTGCACATACATTAGTGTCTCTTTCAGCAGAATACATGTCTTTCAATCCTCAGGACTTCGAGAGTCAGTGGGCATCTTATCCCTGCCCATCTCCCTTGTTTTCTACCCAATTACTGGAATATGGGCAACATTTGGTGGGGGTGGCACAGAAACCCTATGGCTGCTTTCATCATTCTGTCAAAGGGAGGGAAATAATCAAAGAGCTGTAGCAAGAAAACAAATGGTCAAATAACTGTTGAAGCAGGAGGTTCCAACTCGCTGGAGCTCAGCTTATTACAGGCCATATGCCTGAATGGCTCCTCTCACCGAGTGCTGCACCCGGCTATGGAAACAAGTGTGAAAGTGCCTGTGGTTCATCAGGCCTGATTTGCTGTAACTATGTGCAACTGCTGAGAGCACAGAAAATAAGAAACTGAATAGGCTGTGGGGAAAACAGGAGTGAGAATCCTTTACAAAATGCAACATTAATATACATATAATTCCCAAATATTTATGTAAAGATGTTAACGGGCAATAATAATTCTTTTCCCAAACTCACAGCAGATGCTCTTCTTTTAGTACACAGGCTATACTCATAAATGATGCAGCTTAACATAAATAGGAAAACAAATTTATATGCTCTTCTACTTTATTTTTAAATATCATGGGGTTGAATTAATAGTTACTCTTGACAGATATCACTAGCTTACGCCCTTTCAGCTATGCCTGATGTTTTCAGGGCTTGCTGTGTAATGAGGGACTAGGCACATGACTCAGCTCCTGAATGATGGATGTGTTAAAGAGACTGAATGACAGAGCTGGCAGAATAAGGAAAACAGAAAGGGTAGAAGAAGTCTGTTTTTAACCTGGCATTTCAGTTATCTTTACTTGGCAGAGATCCTCCCAAGAGCGCTGAAGGCTCAGGCCCCAGCCAACCATTTCATTTAGCTGTTAGGAAATGTTAATTGTAAAACAAAGGCAAGTGACCATCAGCAACCAAGAGCTTGCTGTGCAGCTGCCATATTCCCCATCCTCTTTGCAGAGTACTACTTTTCTCACAGGGCTTAGCTGTTTAACAACTTTTTCTGGAAGACATGTTCCTGCTAAAGTGGCTTCACTAATTTGGAGAAAGCATTTGTATTCCAAAAAATGAGACATGCACATTTTGTTATTCTGGAGGAGGTAATCCACTCTAAGTTCATACCATGTCCTTAATTCAAAAGGGCTTCCCTAAAGAAGCTGGTGATGCTTCTCTCAGCACCTCTTCTGTATTTTTATGGCTAGATTGTACAGCTCTGTGGCCTTTTTTTCCTACAGAATGGGGTTATGTCATCTGTCTAGTAGCTCTCTGCACACATAATTCACAACACTATCCATAATTCAGTACAGTTACACCAGTCCACCCACATCTCATAAAAACGATGATGACAAGCTCTGTTTCATTCCATTTATACTCCCCCTTCTATGTGAGACACTCCTGTCCTACCTTTGAAACCTTTCACCTTTATTTTCAACTTTGGTGGCCTTTACCTCCCCTTTTGTATTGCCCACTTGAAAGCTTTTTTACTTGGGTTGTGTGTCTTGCTTAACTTTCCAAGCAGCACATCAGGTAAGGATGCACTTTATAACTAAAATGAGCTGTGCTGACAGCTCTGCTCTGTCTCTGTTCTAGTTTGAAACGCTGTTACATGAAATGCTAGGAAGGTGTCTAGACATGGTGCAGGGTAGGCACTGCATACACACTGTTAGCAGATATTACTAATCCCTCAGTGCCAGTTGCTGTCTTCCTCCATGTTAGTTCAGAGGAAAAAAAGGTTGTGTGACAATGTTTTCATCTGCACAGGATGGTTTTAACAGCTTTTCTTTTCTTGTAACGATAAGAAAAACTAGATATGGAAAGTCTGTTTCTTAGAAATTAAAAAAATCAACTTACCAGTTTTTTTTTAAATTTTCCATTCTTTGACTCTGTGTTGCATAAGGGTCCATTAATTATCCTGCCGTCTCTGAACATGGCTCCAAAGAACAGGGTGACCACCTTTTTCAATAAAATTGCAGATTTACAATTTTCCAGCTCAGTGAATTGCTAGTGTTTAAATATATTGAAAGGCCAGTGCTAGGCTGCTCTGCCTCCTTGTGTGGCATTTTACTGGGAAGAGGGTGCTAGAAGGGTGGATGAGGAGAGAAACAAGAAGGGTAGAGAAAAAAAACAGTGCAGAAAGATATGATGGCAAGAAAATACTGCAGAAACAGAAGGGATTAGAGTGCCTGGAGAGATTTGAGGTTCAGAGGTGGCCCTTGGTGCCTCCTCAAGCCTCATATTGCTGCCAAGTGGGAGTGAGGGACATTACTGGGACCCCAGACAGGGCAAGGTTGGTCACTCCTAAGAGTTATGGTCCGTCACTCTGAATATGAGATGAGGACCAAACTGGTCTAACTGCCTTCTGCTTCCTTGCCCATTGACTTGCCAAGGGGATATCATGAGAACGTGACACAAACTTTGCACTGTGCCTCAAATCCATGTAGGTTTGACATGGTCATGAGGAGATGTGGGATGATTCATGCTTCCTGTCAGCTCTGCTTAGTTGGGAAGGGGAGAGGTGAGTACATGCAGGATTTTCCTGCTGTTGTCTGCTATTGAAAATTTGTTTTCTCCATCTGCAAAATTGCATGTTCTTCTGGCAACAGAGAAGGCAGGAAGAAAAAGAGTGGGGAAACAAGGTAAAGTGACTGAAATGATAAAATTACTGGTAATCGAAATAAAAAATATCAGAAGAAAGAAGGATGGGGGCTAGTGACAAAGGCAGAGCTGGGGGTTTCATTTTAGTGCTTGCAGCTTGTGATCCTGACATATAACTAAGGAACCTCTTGTGGCTCCCTTGCTTGAGTATGACAAAGAGCCTGTCTTACAGACACAAAATAATAAAACATCCAGCTCCTAAAACTCAGTCTCTCCTCTCAGTTCTTACTTTGATGTTCATGTTCCCGAGGGCACCTGGGGACCGCTGGAATCGGACACTGTGGGTGGAGGGAGTAGCGCTGCAATCTCCTGCTAACAAACAGTTCAGCTGAGTCCTAGGAGACCAATTTAGAGGTGAGAAAGGACTTTGGGTACATGGATAATCTGTGGGAAACAGTGCCTGGCTATTGCCTGGTTTAACACATGGGTGGACCAGCCCAGGCACACGCCTCCTGCCTGGCCTGCTGCTAGGGATAGCAGGGCTGTGCCCAGCACAAACTCCCTGCCACAGACTCTCCACCCATTTTGTTAAAAGAGCTCCAGAGACAGGAGGGAGGCCCAAAGGCCTTTAAATATTAGCTCCCTGATTTTCTTTGGCTGTTTTTGAAACAAAGCTTCTGCAATAGCAGCCAGGAGGCTTTCAAGGCTCTCCTCTTGCTTTGCAGGAAATGTTACTGGAAACTCACCCTGGCTTCCAGGTTGCCCACATTGAATTCTGCTGTGTGTGAGGCTGAAAGAGGAGATACCCATTTCCCCTGGACAAAGGCTTCCACGAGCCTCTGAGGGAAGTAATACTGATGAAATAGCATCCTTCCCTTCCCCCTCTTCTCATCATTGTCCTTTTTCCTAACACATCACACTGCACACACATAGGCCTGTTCATGCCTGTGCCAAGAGGTGCTGGTTGAAGATTGGTTTTTGGATAGCTTGTGTCCAGGTCTTGGGAGACCTGGATGCGTGTCTCACTTGGGGTGCAAACTTTCTATAAGTTTGGCATGTAGGGTAAAAAAGATGTTGCCTCACCACAGATGACTATACTGTATATCTGAGATGGTCATTTCTTTTTCCCTCCAGAAGCTAGAAATGAAGAGAAATGGACACATCAAGAGTACAGTGCATTAGACTTTATTCCTATCTTAGGATAAGATAAATATCCCCCAAAGAGAACTGGCCACCTCAGGGTGACCATTTGTAGTGGGCATCTATTTTATGGATAGCTACCTTTAACCAAATAAATTCTACCTACATCCCATTCTGTGTTTTAGTTTATCCTTTATAATGCGAAGATGGCAGAGTCATCTTCCTTTTGCAGAGATGTTGTGAGACTTAAATCCAGAAATGCTTGTACGGCATCTACATGGAGAGGTGAGAACGGCATGGGAATGCCTCTCAAACTGTGAAAATGATGGGCTGCTCTCCCAGAGACTGCCAGGGAGGAATTCCTCTGGCTGTGGCACCTCCGTTCAATACCTTGTTCATAAGGAACCCAGAGAGTCACCTCTGTGGCCTCATCTTCTTCCTGCTTTGTTAGAAACATGCATAGGTCATGAAGTAGATGGTTTGTTGTGGCAAATGCAACACTGAAATCTCAGCCTTTCTGGATGCTGAAGTTCCTCAAGAGAAGGAACCCATATGTTGGCAGAAAGTAGAGATACTGTGAAATCATTGTCAAGGGAGACAATGGAAAGGGTGCTTGATGTAAAATATCTTTTTGATTCCTTTTTATTGAGATTGCCTCACTTCCATTACATTTATCTCTATCACATACACAGAAAATCTAGGGTTCCAGCAAAACTATATATTTTTTCAGTTTGTGTTATAAGCAGGAGGTTTTAATTTTGCCAAAAAGTAATGTGTTTACTGAAACCCTTTTTAAAAAAACATTTATTGTCTTAATACAAAGAAGCTGTCCAGAAATACTTTTTTTTTTTTTTCACATGATACATTAAGAAATTAGTTTTGCTACTTGTTTTGGTGGGATCAGGAGTTCATTCAAATAAGTGAGCATGTCTGTTCAAACATTATATTTTGCTCTAAAACCTTATCCATGAAAGTCATCCCGTTGACCATATTCTTCATTATTAAGATTCTAGCCTTTTTCCTGATTTTTAAATTTTTAATCAGTCACAGTCTCCTGTTCCCACATTCTTCACATAAACATGGCAATAAATAGTTGTTTACAAGGCACAAGAATATATCACAAAAATTAACACAAGGCTAGGGCTCTGATGATGTTTGCTTACATTGCTGTGGAAGAATATGCATGCCATGCTTACTGGGAAAATTTACCTTCAGAAAAAGATAACTGTTTGCAACTTGCAGATACAAACCAAATTTATTTCTTCAATCCATTTTAGTATATTTTCCAAATACACTAACAAGTATGCTCTCCTGAATTACTCTGGTGGATTTGAAAGAATGTTTTCCTTCCCTTCTCCTCCCACAGGTGCACACACATGCACACACACTCACACACAAGTGTCAGCACACAGAAAATCCATCAAACATTTTAATACCAGTGTCAGGCTTCACAGCTCAAAGTTATTTTCTGTGTAAGGAGATTAGGACTTTGACCAACTTTCTCTGGCATATGGAGAATGTGAAGTACAATAAAGCATGCTAAAGACTAGAGACCACATAAAAGTACATCAGCAGCTAATTGCTATGCGTGCCATACAGCTGCAAATGAAACACAGCAAGATACCAAGAGACATGAACAGATTCCGTTACATAGGATTATAGTGATGGTCTGAGAACAAAACTGGAAATTTAGACCTCAAAAAAAAAAAAAACCAAACCCAGTTGGCAGTCCTATGGAGTTTTAACAGTTTTGTAGCTGGAAGGGTCTTCCTGTAATTCTTTGCTATAACAGAGCTGCATCTCCCTCAGGTTGAAAACAAAGACTCCTGCCTGCTTTCAGAACTCAGACTAGCAGCAGTGATAAGTATTTACCTCCTGCAGGATCCTCCACATTTTTTCATAGCTACTGTGCATTGGAAGAGCACAAAGTAGAAGGGAGCCAAAGCTGGGCACTGCTGTAGAGCAGGGTACTGTGCACAAAGAGGCTCTTCATGCTTTGTGTCCTCACAGCAGTCAACGTATCAGATCCATCGTGTTTTTCTGTACATAAAGGGTGCTCTTGCCCACTCGTCACCAGGCAGCAGGGGAAGCAATAGAGCTGGAGCCCTTTGGTGTTCACACAGCCCAGGTCTCCAGAGCTGACACTGCCCTTCTTCCAGAGATGGCTGTGGCTGGCCCTAAAGCACTCTTTCCAGCTTCCTACAATCTGCAGGAGTCACTTCACAAACCTTCAGACATTCAGGTGCCACCCAAATGGGGCTCCATCTTGCTCAGTTAAGAGGGTTTCTTGTTTTAATAAAATGATGTGTAAGGCCCTGCTGTAATCTTATTTCTTGTGAAGGTGAGATGTATGTGTCTTTAGGTAAAGAAAAGAATATCATAGGCAATGATGTTAGTATACAAAGAAACTAAAGTAATACTCCACAATTCCCTCACAAGTACAGGCTGCTCTGCAATGCGCTTTCATAGCAGTGTGGGCCAAGCCTTCTCATGTGGGAGGACAGTAGAGAGGTTCTTCAAAAGATTTTTCAGATAAACCACTCCTGTGTGTCTTTTGAGGATGACTAATTGAAAGTGGACAGTTGTCAGAGAGAGATACAATTACTTTATTTTTGCTAAATATACACTTTACAATAGTGTTAGATTTTAGTGTTGTTTTTTTTCTATTTGTGGGTTTTGTTTTGTTTTGTTTTGCTTTGTTTTTCCCCACAGTTGACAAAGGTTATTTGTCAAAAATGTGGCTAATTAAGCCATTTCCATTCCCCCATCTCCCTTGCACAGACAGCAAAACATACTGAGTTTCCAAACAGGAAAAATATTTAGCATCCTAAAAATGAGCTTTAGGTTGCTTTGAAGAATTCAGAAGCCTGTTGTCCTGCAGCATTACTGAGATACATGTGCTGTGTCTGGCATGTTATATATTATAGTGCCTTGTCCAAAAATAAAAATACCTTATAAATAGAGCATCAGAGGGATAAATAACATTTTTGTTTGGAAGACTACTCTTGTATTGAAAATATTTTTGACCCCAGTAGAAATAGGAAGTGAGACTAATTGAACAAAACAGCTTTTAAAGCATAAATTTTAACATTAGCAGCATAAAATAGAACCCCTTTTGTGTTTTGTCTCCTAAAGCTGTTGGCACACTGCATGATCCTTTTTCACAACACAGCCTCATGCAGCCTCAGCCCACAGACTTTCCTAGTTCAAACTTTGCAACCGGACTTCGAACAATAAAATATGCTCCTCTGCATGTTCTGGTTAGCACCCACAGTGGCTGAGCGCTCAGCCCACCCACCATCATGAAATCATGCCGGGTTTTTCCAAACACTGCTCCAGAGCCTACAGGTGGTTGCTTTGCTGCAGGGAGACTGCTCACTCTGTGAGATGCTATTCAAGGTGACTACGAATGGCAGAATTGCCTCTGAGCCATAACAGCCCACAATCTGATGTATACATCGTACACCGTGGAAGGGACCAACGGGTGCTATGAATTGCTCATAAGGCTTTGGAGCAGTTGATGCTACCTTGGAAATATGTTTAGGGCAGCTGAGATTTGAATCTGCCTCCAGTTCGGGGAGGAAGCAGCTGCTGGTTTCAGGCTCATTGGATGTCAGTAGAGGGGTTCCTCTCATTTGTAATTACCACTCATTTGTAATTATATAATAATTGCAATATAATAATTATATATATATCTATATTAAGTAACATAAAGTAGTAAATGACATTTCCAAGCTCCTGTGGATATAATTTCAAAATAATTTAAAGGACATGAAACAAAAATATAAGCCTGGTTTGCTTTTTTTGTTTTTGTTTTTGTTTTTTTTTTTTTTTTCCCAGTACAAATGTGGCTCTGCAAGCAGCTCTCAGGTGGCTACAAGTTAAATTTTGTGTCTCTCTGGAGTAAGAAGGCAATTTCACTGCAGTTGTGTTTTGCGAAGACAGGGTGGCTGTAAAAATCTTCGCTTATTCATGTTAGTCACAGAAGTTATAACTGCATTACTGGAAGACTCAACAGAGGCAGATTGCTGATGTTTTCAAGTAATGCTATCTCCTCTTCATATTTATTGTCATACCAGACAAGGTTTTATTGGTGTCACATAGATATTTGCTAATAACATGCAAAAAGATTTTCTTTCTGGGAGACTCTGGATTTAGATAGTCTGAATTTCTTTTTTAGATTTTATTTTTGTTGGATCTTATTAAATATTTCCTTGTAATTATTAACACACCTCATTCTAGCATACTGATTATTATCTCTTCTCTTTTTACCACACTGAACTTTTTAATTCTTTTGAACTGCTTGGTAGAGTTTTATATTTCTCCTCTTTCACCAGGTGGGTTACAGCTATGCTTGTATTTTCTCTTTATAATTTTTTTTCATGCTGCTAAGTAAATCTAGGAAATTGGATGAACTGTTATTCCATTTCCAGGAAGAAGAGCTGACTGAGCCCAGCACACTGGTCTGCAAAGCTGAAAGGGGCCTCCTCCCACTGGGATGCTCACATGCTCATGCACTCCCACACTCTCAAAATGGAGAAGTGGTCAAAATGGAGAAAAGGATGATGATAATCTGTGGAGGCAGTTCAGATGTTTCATAGCAGTCCCTGGACACAGACAGCAAGGTGGAGCTGCGCCAAGTCAAGACACCTACAGTTTTTTACAAGCAATCTTACCCTAACATACCAGCACTCCTGTGCTTCTGTTTTGACCTGCTGGAGTATGTATAATCGATGTAGGGTCTGAGAAAGTCATCTGACATCAGCATAAGTAAAATATTAAGCTCTCTCAGTTTCCAGCACATGATTTTTAAGACATTTTAATCCCTTCCCTTTCAAGTGTGGATTTACTGGGGAGGTCAAGGGATCATTAACACTTCTGCTCCTCTACCACCATTAACACGGGCCAGCAAGGACTGGTGCTGTTGGGTACTATGATTTCATTCACGCACATATTTCTTTTTATTTTTTTTCATTCAGCTAAATTAATCATCTTATTTCTTCAATAGTATTTGAAGTTTATAAATTGTCCTTAATCTAAATATAATCAGTTCAAAGCCCCGGTAAAAGACTACTGTTTCCAGCCCTTGTGGAGGTCCTAGGGGGAAAAAAGGATGTTTGCCCACCATTGTCTTGCTTCCTATTGCAAGGACTAGAGCCACAAGGGAGAAGCTGCTTCAGCCTGCTGCAGCAATGACTGTACATCACTCTGTGGGCACTAGAGAGGGGCAAGGACATGATTAGGTAGCCATCACTCTGTGGGCACTAGAGAGGGGTAAGGACATGATTAAGCAGCCTCATAATGCAAATTAACAGAACAGACAGAACTAAAATGAGATAACTGGCACCATCTCAAACATGGTAAAGCAAGGATGGTTCCTCTGCCTGCTGTAAAGGCAGGGTGATACTCAACCACATAACCCTCTTTGAAAATCATTCAAGGATGCAGAGTTTTATATAACCAAATACCCCTCTGTGTGTAAATAATCTCATTTAGTCACTGTCATTTTATGGTTATGTACACAAAGACAGAAGGATATGACATGTTTTGCATGGGACACAAAATTAAGCTACCAAAAAGTGCCATGTGTGTCTATTCTTTTCTCTTTTCTTAAGGGTAAGCTTATTGGCCTTATAGATGGAAGAAATGAGTTTCAGAGGTCTTCTGGGTATATTGAATCTCTTGCTCTCTGGAAATGGGAAAAAAAAAACAAAACAAAACAAAACACAACCCATGTACACAGAATAGATGAAGTCAGAAAGAAAGTGACTCCTGTTAAGTACTTCAAGGCAATAGAAGCTGAAATTATGACCATATGATGTGCAGTGAGTGCAGTGATACAGGAGAAAATGTTACATCACCACAACATTAATTACTTAATGTCACAAAGCTGGTGATATGAAGACTACTTACTGTAGGTGGTCAAAGTTGAGTATAGTCAGGCTGGTGTAGCACTCTGAACTCCAAATATCAATTTGACATTCTGCCTCAGGTTAAATTTTTTTTTTTTTTTTTCCTCCCTTCCTGAGAATGTCTGGTTTCTTTTTTATTCTTATTTTTTGCTTCCTTCACAGTGCCTTGTTTTCCCCCAGACTAACCCTCCTGGGACAGACTAAGCTGGAAAAACTTCAGTTTGGTGCTATTTTACTCTGCTTTACTTAGCCTCATAAAGTTGCTTTAGAGACAGTCACTTTCTGGTGTGTGAGAACAAGATGTCACGAGGCACATAGTAGAATAGTAAACCCAGGCTTTGATCAATTGCCAGAAATGGCGGTGGGGAGAGAGAAAAAGGGGGGAGCTTTTTAAAAATATATATACAGGAGTAAACAGAAGTGAAAGATACTACAGCTCAAAGAAAATATTATATTTCAGGTCAGAGGAAACCTACTAGAGTCTTTCTCTAGAGAATACAAGTCCCTCTCCCCCTGACTCAGCCATGGAAACTAGCTACCAGCCCTGTTTAGTGACATACAAAAGCTAAAACATTCTATGTGATCATTATTTTCACGCAAAGCCAGGGTTACCTGGCCTTCCATGTAGCTAGTTCTGGGACATCTCAGATCTTCTGCTCCCAAAATTCCCAGCCCTTAGCAGTCATCTTCAAGAAAAAGCTGAACAGATCCCTGGCAATTTGCTGAGCTGCTGTGGTCATGGTTTGGGGGCGGTCCAGCACTTGCTGACATATATCAGTCACTTACACTTGTCTCATACCAAAGTCCCTCACAGAAGTCCCTTCTTCATGCAAATGGGATTGGAGGAAAGAACATACATGCTTTTTCCCTTCTTTCTGTCTTTTAAATGTGACCTCTTGTCTTCTGCTCAGGTTTATTTATATACACTGGCACATTGAAAAAGTGACTGGCTATGTTAAGTACTGTGCTTTGATTTTAGTGGTTTGTGTAGCGTCCAAAAAACATGAATAAAATACATTAAAAAAATGCTGGAAATTGACATTACATCTATGTTGATGTGCATTTCAGTTGCCAAGAAAAGAGCAGTTTGGCTGAAGGATCCAACAAAATCTGCTTAGTGGGTCTTCCTTGGCGAGAGACCACAACGCAGACTGCTTTCATACAGTACTCTCTTAATCACTGTAAAGAGGTTTCAGAGACATTAATAATAACTAGTGCAGTTGTTACACCCACGCACAGTGACTCAGCCACACCGATGAGGCCCAGGGAGAGTCTTTACCTGTGTGGGCCACACAGACACATGCCAATATTTAGTCCAATAAAGTTGTCTTTCCAGCAGTATGAATTATAATCTTGGAGGTAGATGATGACAGGGCCTGTCAAATAATCCCCTAGACTGAGACACAGCCCAATATATAACAACATCTCACTAGAGTCACATTAAAGGCTGCAGTGGAAACCTCATGCTCTCTGCTTCTCTCTCAAATATTGCAACATTGATTAAAACCAAATAATACATAGTCCCAGCGTCACGCTGTGCTGCACTGAGAGAGAACTCTGAGAGTAATAAGAGCCCATTTGGTTTAAATGAATTTTCAGACAGTCTTTCCCAAGCACAGGGTTGAGGCAGCTGGCTGTTAATCAGACGCGATGCAGGCAGGAGGTGATCAGGCAGTGCTGAAGGAGTTTTGAGCTTCTGCTGGTCACAATAAACAGGCATCCGGATAGCCCTGGTACTACTGACTCTGTGGTGGCAAGGTAGACACCCATCCACAGTTTTGGATCTTCTTAGCCTTTTATTTAGCTTATATTTTCTGGGTCATCTCATCCCCTATTTCTGACATAAAAGAGCAGTGATTGTTATTTGATTAACCTTTCTGGGAAGGGGGGAGTGCTCAGGAATACACTGGCCAAAAGTGTTTTGTCAGATACAGATTAGCAAATAATTCAGTGGCCATTACAGAGCAAGTTGCATCCAGCAATCAGAGTTGACTGTGGATCATCTCCTGTTTCTAGCTCATTTGATGGGAAAGCTCTTATCAACTTCGATGGCACAGGATCAAGCTTGATACACCCAGCAGACTGTGGAAGCCTTGGACTAGCATGCAGGGCAGAATTGAGCCAACTGTAACATTAGCTATGGAAATTAAAGCCTTCTACCAAGAAAACCAGAGCTAAATTGAAGACAATTAGGAAGCATTTGCTCTCTTCTTCCTACCTGCAATACGTCAGGAGACCAGCCTCTGAATGAATTAATTTTGTGTCCAAGACCAAGTAAGCCAAGAAGCAACTTTGGAGAGGAAGAGGAAAAGGCAGGCCCTGTTTCACTAACCTGATCTCCTTCTATGACAAGATGACCCACTTAGTGGATGAGGGGAAGCCTGTGGATGTTGTTTACCTGGACATTAGTGAAGCCTTTGATACTGTTTCCCACAGTATTCTTCTGGAGAAAGTGGCTGTTCAAGGTTTGGCGAGGCATACTCTTCACTGGGTAAAACACTGGCTAGATGGCCAAGCCCAAAGAGTGGTAGTGAATTGAGTTAAAACCAGTTGGAGGCCAGTCACAAGTGGTGCTCCCCAGGGCTCAGTACTGGCACCAGTTCTGTTTAATAGCTTAATCAATGATCTGGACGAGGGGATCGAGTGCAACTTCAGTAAGTTTTCAGGTGAAACCAAGTTGGGTAGGAGTATTAATCTGCTTGTGGGTAGGAAGGCTCCACGGAGGGATCTGGACAGGCTGGATTGATGGGCCAAGGCCAACTGTATGGGATTCAACAAGTATGAGTGCCGAATCCTGCACTTGGGTCACAACAACCCCATGGAGCGCTACAGGCTTGGGGCAGAGTGGTTGTAGAGCTGCCAAGTGGAAAAGGACATGGAGATGTTGGTCGACAGCTGGTAGAATATGAGCCAGAAGTGTTCCCAGGTGGCCAAGAAGGACAACAGCATCCTGGCTTGTATCAGAAACAGCATGGCCAGCAGGACTAGGGAAGTGATTGTGCCCCTGTACTTGACACCGGCGAGGCCCCACCTCAAATACTTTGTTCAGTTTGGGGTCCTTCACTACAAAGGAAGACACTGAGGTGCTGGAGCATGTCCAAAGAAAAGCATCAAAGCTGGTGAAGGGTCTGGAGCATAAGTCTTATGAGAAGTGGCTGTGAGGCTGTGAGAACTGGGCTTGTTTAGTCTGGACCAAAGGAGACATGAGGGAGACCTTATCACTCTCTACAACTGCCTGAAAGGATGTTGTATCAAGGTGGGTGTTGGTCTCTTTTCCCACATAACAAGTGATAAGACAAGAGGAAATGGCCTCAAGTTGTGTTGGGGAGGTTTAGACTGGATATTAGGAACAATTTCTTCACTGAAAAGGCTCTCAAGCATTGGAATAGGCTGCCCAGTGAAGTGGTTGAGTCACCATCCCTGGAGGTATTTAAAAGACCTGCAGATGTGGTGCTTAAGGACATGCTTTAGTGGTGAACTTGGCAATGTTAGGTTAAGGGTTGGACTTGATCTTAAAGGTATTTCCTAACCTGAATGATTCTGTGATTCTATTCTATAAAAAGCAGGAGAAACTTCTCCTTTTCTGCCCTTCAAGGGCTCTTCCTATGCAGAAGGGGCACAGAACTGACTCTTGTGGGGCAGCACAATGTTAGCAGGCTTACCTAAAGTTTTCTTTGCAGTTTCTTTCTCTAATCTCTCCACCCCCAGCTGAAATCACACATAAATGATCACAGGATCATGGGGAGGGGATAAATTCACAAGAAAGTGTGCAATACCATGTGCAACTGAAAATTGAAAGAATTGGTTTGGGTTTTTTTTATACTGAGGAAGTCAAACAGAAGCTGGACTTGACATATTGTTTAAAGTTCTAGTCAT